CCGAACCGATTTGCTGACCCAACGCTGCATGCACCACACCCTTGAGTATATACTCATGCGGCACGGTGGGCTGTAATTCTTTGATTAGCGCATGCGCCTCCTGCACATTGCCACTCTTCAAATGGTATATGGCCAAATTGAGACGTGCTTCTGGCACGATATTCAAGAGTGCCAGAAATGTTTGCATTGCTCNGCAATATTTTGTATCTCCTGTTCGGCTACGCGTCCATTAAACAGTCGAAAACGATTGCACGCTTTCAGATTAGTGGCAATGGTGCTGTCTTTATGCTTAGTCAGATATACGTCGAGCACCTCTTGTGACATGTCATAGTAGTCCAGCTTGTAGAAGCACAATGCCAAGTAGACATTGATGGCCAAGTAGTCTCTGAAATGTTTAAAAAACATTTAATGCTTAGGATTGTATCTGAGTATGGGTATGACCCTTCGCGTACTTATTATCCAACAGCAATCGTTTATATATATCGATTGCATCTTGATAGTGTGCTCGTAAATAATGCATCGATGCCAGACTTAACTGATCTTCCACATCTACCCGCAGTGAAGCTTGCAATTGCGTCACCTGTGCCTCATTGCCGAATTTTTGCGCCAGATGAAAGAGTAGACGCACCTTCAGGGGTGTATTCGGTGTCTGTTCAATCAATCGATGTGCCTCTTCATACATTCCCAAATAGAACATACAAACGGCAATGTTGAGCGCTATGTCCTCCGTCGCAGGCTCAACATTTCTTATGCTTTTGTATTGTTGTAGCGCCTGTTGATAGTCCCCCAAATGAAAGCTACAGAAGGCTATCCACTGATCAGTTAACAAGTGCTGCTCGTCGTCTTCATCTTCGCCTGAGAACTGTTGGAAGGGTATTTAAAAAATATTACCAAATACCAATAAAGAAAAAATTGAGTTACTAAATGAATCGTTCAGTCTTCACGAGAACACCACTGACAACTTCGACGAAGTTTGACGTCGAAAAGATGCAATCGCTACGGACAGCTGAGAACTTTCACAACAGTCTCTCAATACTACTTAAAGAAGCAACTCTTCGTCTTCAAGATATATGTAAATGAGCACTGGGATCCCATATCCCAATCTCTTCGCACCGCTGTGGAAGAACTCACGCTGGTATGACGACGCAGCATATATAGCCGCCATGCAGCCAATTGCTACGCGAGCGACAATTAAGAGGGAAGGGGGATGTCTGGGAAGTTGGCATACGGTATGATGCAAAACGACAAAAAAAAGTTCTTCTAAGTAGCCTTCCCATAGTTCTAGAGTTATTGAAATAGGAAAAAAAGTTCTGGATATTTTAACGAAAAAAACTTTCTTAAAAAATTGTGTATGCCAGATTCACGCAGCATACGATATGTGGCAAAAAGGCAAATACAAAATTGTTCTGAGCAGATTTTCAATAGTTCTAGAGTTCCTGAAAAGGAAAAAAAAAGTTCTGCAAAATTACGCCGAAAAACATTTTTTTTCGAAAAAGTGGAAAAAGTAATATTTTTGAAAAAAATAAAATTTA